GGACGGCTGGACGCTACGGCGAGTGGGCGGCTGGCACGACTTCGGGGGCCAGGAGCCCATCGCCGCCCCGATCTCCGGGGCCGCGGGCGCCGCCCCGCAGGCGCGGCGGGAGCTGGGCGAGAACGACATCGTGGAGTGCGAGAAGAGGATGCGGGAGGAGCTGGGCGTGCGGAAAGAGCACACGGAGCGGTGGGAGAAGATGCTGCAGAGGAGGTCCGAGCGAGTCGGCGTCGTGGGAGTCAGGAGAGGGGGCATGCTGGTTGAGGCCGCGGTGAAGCCCGCCCATGTGTACCCCGACGCCGAGGCGCGGTTCAACGACGACACTGGCGTCGGCAAGCAGACGACGAAGGTGAAGAAGGCTCAGAAGAAGCAGGCCGCTGCCGTGGACGGCGCGGAGGAGGACGCGGTACCGGATACGGCGAATGCGCTTCTGGGGCTGAAGTCCGAACGGGGTGAGGGCGGCTACGACTTCGACAATGCCGAGGAGTACTCTGGCGACGAGGCGGAGCAGGCAGACTTCCAGGAGGAGCTCCAGCAGACCACCTCGGTCATGGAGCCCGAGGCCACCGTGGAGCTCGCGGACGAGGAGGACGCAGAGGACGCGGAGCCGGGCGCGATGCTGACCACGGAGGGGAAGGAGCTCGAGATGCTGATCGACAGGTTCGCCAGCGCCGAGAGGGCCTCGCCCGGGAGCGAGGGTGAGGACAGCGAGAGCGAGGACGCCCCCGACGCCCAGGCCGAGGCCGGCGACGGCGCCGCGTCCGCCGGGCTGCTCTCCGCCCCGGTGGGCGCACCAGCCTCGGGCCCCTCCGCGGCCGTCTGGCGTTGCGCAAGGGGGGGCGAACAAGGGGGGGGGGCGGCGGGAAGAAAGCTGCGCCTTGTGCGCTCTAGAGGGGCCCTAAAAAGGCTCCAGGGGGGCCCCCTGCCCCTCTGGGCTCACAAGGGAAACGAAAAGTGCACGTTCCCTCCCCCCCTCCCGTAGATGGCCCCCCCATGAAGCAGCGCCCAAGGCCGAAGCCCCCGCCGCGGGCCAGGGCGGAGGCGGCCGCGGCGGCGAGCGGGGTGTCGGGTCTGGCGGGGGCGAGGGCGGCCAGCCGCCGCCGAAGCGGCGGCGCCTGCGGGCGGGCGCCGCGCCCGCCGCGCTCGCCGCGCCCGCGGCGCCCGCGGCGGCGCCGCGGCCGCCAACGACGGCTGGCGAGCTGCAGCCGCGGGCTGCAGCGGTCGCCGCACCGGCGCCCGCCGCCATCGCGGGCGGCGCGACAGCGCCCGCCAGGCCACCCGTGGGCCAGGCGGCGGCGGCGGCGGCTGCGAGGGATGCGGGCCAGCAGGACGCGGGCCAGAGCGCAGAGGAGCTGCGCGGGCGCCTTGTTTCGTTCATGAGGCGCGTGGGTGGCACCTGCTCGCTCGCCGAGATCTCTACCGAGCTGGGTCTGACGGACAAGGCCTCCACCCTCTACAAGAGGGCGGTGGCGGTGATCAAGGAGGTGGCGGACCTAAAAAAGGTGGACGGCGAGAAGCGAGCGAATTTGGTACTCAAGGCCAACTACACGGTGGACTGAGCCTCGGGGCCGGAGGGGGGCGACGCAGCTCTTCCCTCCACTGTGTTGGTTCGCAAGCGCACTCTGCTCAGCATGGGCTTTGAATGTGGTGCGCCGAGCCCCGAACCAAATTGCGCATTCACACGGATACGGCCAGGTCTGGTCTTGGTTGGACGTTGCTTTCCAAGCAGGTCTCGAGGAGTGGCGAAGAGGGCAGGGACGTTGAAAAACGGGGAGGGGGAACGCCGTGGAGAGGAGGAGTGTCTGGGAAGCGGCACTCGGTTGCGAAAGCGTCATCGGCCCCACGCGTGTCCCCACCCGCACATCCAGCGACCAGTATGACGCTTACTGCGGGGTCCCACGTTCCATCGCCTCGACTGGTGTTGGCGCGTGTTGTGAGACCCGCTGCTATCGGGCGCAGTGCCATGCGGGCCGATTCGGTCTTGTTGATCCTCATTGATGCGCGGCCCGGTCCTACGGTTGGGAACCTTCGGTTAGCGTGTCGTTGCTGGTTCTCGCCCACCACGCTTCGACGCTACACGTCATCCACGTCCCCATCCCCAAGCATCAGTATCCTAAGCCTTTCCGAGCCTCCCGCCCCGCGGAACGCAGCGACACGCCATCCGCTTGGAAGGCACAGCGTGTCGACCGGGCCGCTGCAGCAAGTCGCTATCCCAAAGCGCATGACCGAATCTGGCCACGGACGTCTGGCCGCGCAGCGTTGGCCATGCAAAGGACGGCGTTCATCGGAGGCGCCTGCGGCGAATCACGGCCGCCCCCGGGCCTTTGGAAGTGGGAGAGTCTTGAGCCCCCACCCTCCGGTGGGATCTTCCACGGCGAGGGCGCCCTTTTGCTTCCGGGGGCCCCTACCCTTCCACTGTGGGCGGGGGTGGGGGTCCAGTGCGGGAGGGGGGGCCTCAACAGCGGAGGACCCCATGGAGGATGGGCAGGGCTTCGAGACAGCGCCTCTCGGCCTCTCGGCATGTGCGGTGCCGAGTGTGGCGACGGTGCCGCGGCCAGGGGAAAAAGGAGAGAGGTGAGAAGATGCATGAGCCCCGACGCTCGCAGCGTCCAGAGGTGGCCCCGGTATCCTCCTCGCACCTCCGGGCCTCTCCTCTCCTCCTTTCTCGGGGGGTCCGCACTCCCATCGCAGGGGGGGGGCACCAAGCTCCTGGGCGTGGCAGGGGCCCTCGGCCAGGGCCCCGGAGCCGCCGCTCGCACAAAAAGGGGTATCACCGCCACCTCTCCCCCTCTGTCCGTGGTGGCACCGCTCTTCGGGCCCGTCGGGGACGCGCAGGCGTGTCCTCCGCAGAATCTCCGGACGTCTGCCATGGTTGGGGCTCGGGCGCCCGGCCGTTGCAGAACGAGAGCCGCCTACCGTCCCGGGGCATCGAGTCCCTGGGAGTGGCAGGGGCCCTAAGCCAGGGCCCCTGCCACTCCTCCTCCTCCTCCTCCTCCTCCTCCTCCTCCTCCTCCTCCTCTTCTCCTCCTCCTCCTCCTCCGCCACCCGAAAATAAGATACGATATCACCGTCACGGCCTCCATTTTTCCGCCATCGCACCGCTATCAGGGTCCGTCGAGGATGCAGAAGGAAATCGATCTTGAGTTACAGGTGTTCAGACTCTGCGTAACATATGTAGGGATATGCATTGCGATGCATAAAGGAAGCCTGACGCAGCGCAGGGGCATTAGCGTGCCCATCGCTTTGGGACACCCTTGCACATCCTAAGAACATTGCGGGGATTTGACGCGTAGTACCTTCAGCTACTAAGAGCACAGAAAACAATGTTCCTGCCGCCCAGAGGATGAGCGCAGGGATTCTATAGCTTCCACGTGCACGCTGTTAGGCGTGACTGACTCAGGTCCCAGCTGGGGTGGCAAAGTGCAATGGCACTGCCGCGAAGAAGCGAAGATGCAGAATTGAGCCCAAGCTGGGATTGCGACAACCCGCTTCCCCCACAAAGCAAACCGACCAGAATTGCGAGATTTGGTGCCTCTGTCGTGATAAAGACCAGCCTCGGCTGGGATGGCGAGAATCTTGGCGCGCCAGCGCGTTTCGGAGCGAAGCGCCGGAGCGGGCTGCGAGGGGAGCCCGGGGAAACCAATTGGGTCAAGGGGCAATATGTTTGTAGGCAAATGCACGTCATGGAAGAAGCAAGGTGAGGTGTAAGGTATTACCTTCTCCCCTTCCCCCTCCTGCAGTGTCCATTCTGGCTCAAGCCAGAATCTTTGGGGCCCCATCATCCGCTTAGACTTTGAATCGTCAGGCGCGCAGCTGCAAATGCCAGCGGCGTCCACGAAGATGGGCTCTGGTGGTTTCATGCCCTGCCGCGCGCTTCTTCTCGGTTACCTTGTCGCCTTCGCTGTCGCCAATGCTGGCGCCGCGAATGCGAGCAACGCGTCTAGAGCCTCCAGAAGTGTCTTGGACGTGGGATCGAGAGCGAGCGCGAGCCAGCTTTCTCAAGAGGACACCCGCAGCGGTCAGCACCGTGACTTGGCGGCAGAGAGCGCCAGCTCTCTCGCAGCAGATGTCCCTTCCGCGAAAGCCGACAGGGGTCGGCAACACACGCCGTCTGATTTGACGGACACCGAGACCATTGGTTTCGGCGACCTCAGAGATTCGGGAATGGCGGCGACAGACGCGCGGTGCCTGCTGTGGCAGGGGGGCGAGCGCGGTTGTGGCGAGATTCGGGACAGGGACCTCTGCCTGAGGATAGGATGACGCCAACCACCCACCACGCATGCGGGTCCTGTGCAGGCTGACCTTGAGCCCAGGACCAGCATCTGCGCCAACCTGGCAAGGTCAGGAGGGTGTACGCGCTGATCCGAGGCCCAGGTGGGGCCTGGTTGTGTAGGTGGATAGTCCGCGTCCTCCCCCGAGGAGCGTCGACGGCCGGCCGTGGAGGCAGTGGAGGAGCTACCTCATCCACGGGCAGCCCTGTGCCTGGTGTGGCGGCGAGAGCTGCGCGGCCAACACCAATGATCTCTGCATGCCCGCGGACTGGGTGAAGGGCCAGCCTCGGGTAACCGTGGCCAGCTGCGGCGCACCGTCCACCGCACACGTCGGAGCACCTGGGCACGGCGACTCTCAGCCTGTCGGGCGACTCGTCCCGCCACTGGCTGCCATGCGCACGGAGTTCGAGGACCCTGGCCGCCCCGGCTTCGGCTGCGGAGCCGAGGGTGCGGCGGTCTCCTCGAAGGTCACGGGATACCCTCGTGACACCCACCAGCCCAATCCACCTCTCCTCATCCCGCTGCTCCCTGTCGGGGTGGACACGGGGGGGGGACGACGTATGCTGCATGCCGCTGCTTTCCGCCCTGCCGCCAGGCATTTCCCTCGGTCCATGGCCGCCTCTGGCGCCAGGAGGCGCTTGGGAAACCAGCTGCATGCAGCTGATTCCTGAATCCCGCCTTTCCTACCGCCCAGCTTTTGTCTGCCCTGGCCCTCGTCCCCAGCGAGGGCGATTTGTCCCCCGACCCTCGTCCCGTGAGGGAGGAGGCGGGGAGGAGGAGGAGGAGGAGTAGGAGGAGGAGGAGGAGGAGGAGGAGGAGGAGGAGGAGGAGGATTGGATTGGATTGGATCGGATTGGATTGAATTGGATTGGATTGGATTGGATTGGATTGGATTGGATTGGACTGGACTGGACTGGACTGGACTGGACTGGACTGGACTGGACTGGATCGGATTGACGACGGTCTTCCATCCAGGTCAACAAATTCTTCTACACTTTCACCACGGGGTCCTTGGACGAGTGCAAGGACCTTTGCTCCTTCAAGGCGTACTGCCGCGCCGTGGAGTACGGGGCCCATGATGGGAGGCGCCGCCCTGGCGGGAGGAGAGGGAGGAGGAGGAGGAGGAAGAGGAGGAGGAGGAGGAGGAGGAGGAGGAGGAGGAGGAGGAGGAGGAGGAGGAGGAGGAGGAGGAGGAGGGAGGGAGGGAGGGAGGGAGGGAGGGAGGGAGGGAGGGAGGGGAGGAGGAGGAGGTGGAGGAGGTGGACGCAGCCTGGAGGTGCACAGGTCTTGGTGACCAACGCGCTGGCTATACGAGGGAGGGTGGTGCTGCACGGGCGAGGGCACAGGCGAGCACCCGGCCAGCCAGAGCGTGGCTGGCGCAGTGCAGGAGGGGGGAGCCCTCCGGGAATTTTGAGGCCCACACCGCACGGCTGTGACTGGCCGAGGGCAAGGCAGCGACAGGCTCCCCTCCTCCGCCTCCTCCTTCTCCTCCTCCTCTTCTTCCCCTCCCCCGCGGCAAGCGTGGCAGCAACTAGCCGGAGTACGTCCTCTTCTTCCCGAAGAGATGCCACGGCCAGCTCGAGCTGCCCCCAGCCGCCGCCAGGCTCGGGGCAGGAAGAGCGCCTGCGGCAGCGGCGACCTGGGGGAGGTGGCAGGGGCACCTCCCGAGGCTGCAGTGCCTCGCCTGCCCTGTGCAGCGCTCCCCTCCCGGGCGGAGATGGTAGGGGGTGACTCCCGAAGGCGCCTCGCCTCGCCTCGCCCGCCCTGTGCACCACAGCCTGGCGCGGCAGGGGCAGTTCCAGGAGGAGCGTTCGGCAAGGGGGCTGTCTGGGACACTCGGCGGGTCCCGGACACTCTTTTGATCCGCGGGTCGAGAGCGCATCTCTTCCGGTCGAAGCTCAGCGGGCCGCGCGAAGCTTGAATTAACAGAGAGGGGGGGGACAGAAGGAGAGCGGCCTCACGGCAAGGTCAGGAGGAGGCAAAGCCTCGGGACACACCCTTCCTGCACTACAGTTTTAAGTCGGGCCTGTCCCCCTACAGGAGGAACATTCAAGAATGGTAAAAGAAATCGCCCGGGGATGATTTCTTTTTTTGTTCTACTATGTTTGACAATTTCTGCGCTTTTTTGCTGTATTTGTCATGTTTCGTCCAAAATCCGCCTGTAGGGGGACATGCCCGACCTAACACTACAGTCGGCGGCACGGAAACATGTAGGGCGCTTCCAGACTTGGGATTGAGTCCACGGGCAGCATGCTTGATCTCTAGAGCCTGATTCGCACGAGCACTTGGATGGGCACTGCGCCCATTGCCCTGCAGGCTAAGCCCTAGACAAGACCCGTCAAGCAAAATCAAATGCGCACTGCAAATGGAACGGAGGACCAACACGACCAGCTCTCTCGCGACAAAAAAAACAGGTCCTCGAACCGATTCAAAGCTAGGGTCTGTAACTCGCAGGGGTCACCGATTTCGGCTCCCAGAAATCGTCGGCAGAAGCCAGAGCGCTCTGGACAGCCTCGCTGGCCATCGGGGTCCGATATCCCGCGGGGCCCATGGACCGGGAACAACAGCTCAGCCGCCTGCCAAGCTCGCGCCGCCGCCGTGGGCACACCCGCTTTCCTACCGCCGGCAAGGAGCTGCCTATCGGGAATCGAGCTCTATACACCTCCTCCTCCTCCTCCTCCTCTTCCTCCTCCTCCTCCTCCTCCTCCTCCTCCTCCTCCTACACCGACGCTGCTTCCGGCCCTGCATCAGAGTGTGCACTGGAGAGCGGATCCTGGTGTGTACGGGACCCTGGAGTAATTACACGTTTTTCGCTGTTTCCCTGGGGCATCGGGGAAAAAGGTATGCACCACACCACCCCAGCGTCGCCCTCGACCCTCAAGAGATCCTGGGATTGAAAGACAGCCCGCCACTGGTAATGTACATGTCCCAGTTTCCGAAGCCTCGAGGAGGGAGGTGGGCGTACAGTCGGGGCCCTGAAGAAGGAACCCTCTTCGTTGGGGAGGAGCTCCGCGTTCCTTAAGTGTTTCACAGCTTGCCTCAGGCTTTCCTTAGGTCTTCGACAGGAAATCGAAGGTTAACTCATAGAAAAGAGGGGCCTCGTTCCTTATTTAGGGTTCCTTAGGTCAACGCCCCGACTGTATGTTCCAGTTTCCGAAGCCAGAGGAGGGAGGTGGGCGTAGTGTTTGTACATCGTACTTTCGGGTAGCGTGCCGACGCAGGGCGCTCTGGCGGCGCTCCGGCGGCCCGGTCGCTGCGGACTCGGGCGCACTCGCGAGAGACGCGGGCGACCGCAGCGTCTGCGCGCAGCTCCTCCTCTCCTGCGCCTAGTGCTCTTTGCGTGGTGTTTTCGCGTCGCGTGCCGACGCACGGTGCTCCCGCGGCGCGCCGGCGGCCAGCTCCGTGCGGCCTCGGGCGACACCGACGAGAGGCGGGACAGAGGCCAGCAACATGTGTACACGTACGCGGCTAGCTTCCCCTGGAGTGCGTGTCAACGCGGACGTTCGTGCAGGCAAGACCGCGGAGGGCGTACATGTACATATGTCGTGGCTAGCCCAAGGCGCGGGTGACCGCAGTGTCTGCGCGTGGCTTTTCTCTGTTCTCCGTGGAGTGTTTTTTGTTGTCTGCGGAGCGCTGTCGAGCGGCGTGCCGACGCGGGGCGCTCCTGCGGCGCCCCGGCGGCCCTCTCCCGGCGGACTCGGGCGGGGCTGACGAGAGACGCGAGGAGCCGCAGGGTTCGCCCGCGTGTTTTTTTTTTTTTTTTTTTTTTTTTTCTTTTCGGCGTCGTTTTTTGGGGCACGTCGTCTTTTGGCGCTCCCCCGGGCCTTTCGGAAGGGCAGACGACGTTGTGGAGGAGCAGGGCGAGGAGGAGGAGAAGGAGGAAGACGTGAGGGAGGAGGAGGAGGGGGAGGAGGAGGAGGAGGAGGGATAGGGATAGGGATAGGGATAGGGATGGGGATGGGGATGGGGATGGGGATGGGGATGGGGATGGGGATGGGGATAGGGATAGGGATAGGGATAGGGATAGGGATAGGGAGAGGAGGAGAAGGAGTAAGAGATCGCGTATCACCTTCCTTGCTTTCCTCGGGGTCCTCTTGGTTCCCTAGGTCCCGCTGGTCTTGCTTCCTTACGGTTCTGGAAGGCCAGCACTCCACATATACCCCAGGTTCCCTAGTCTGGTTGGTTTATATGTTGTGAAAATGCGCCAAGCAGTGCCTAGAAGCGCATAGAAAGGCCAAGCACCACAACGTAATGCGCAGCAGCGCCAAGCAATGCAAGGCATCGCAAAGCAGTGCCAATCGATGCCGAGATCGCCCCCGTGACTCATCCCTCAACCCCCCAACCCCCCGGCCGGATTTCTTTTCTTCTTTCCGCGGGGGGTCAACCTTCGCGGCGACCCGTTAAACCCGGGACCCCTGGCGGCGCATGGATTTCTTTCCTTCTTCCCCGCGCGCGTTGCCGTTGGAACCCCTGAACCCTTCCGACACCCGTACAACTCGTACTTGAGTACAACTGGTACTATCATGTCCTATCGCGCAGTTGTTCCTAGAGAGCACATTGTCCTGCCGTGCAAATATTCGAGTGCAGCTGGTATCGTATGACAGCTGGTAAAATTGTGCCCCCTAGAACAACCCCTTATCGCAAATCCCCAGTACTAGTACAACTCCATGGTACAACTCCCGAGCACAACTCCCCCGTACAATTCCCCGGTTTAAGTGGTACTATAACAACTCTTTGATCCAAGTTCCGACTGCTAGTACAACTCCCTCGTACAAGTCCTTGATGCAACTCCTTGGTGCAAACCTCTGTAATTCAGTTGTTCCCGTACTGATACAAATCCCTAGTGCAACCGCGATTAAGGTGTTGTTGCATTGCACTTACAGTCTCGGCTCTCACGCTTTTCTTCCTTTGGTTGCGCTTGGGGGGGTGGGGCCCCTCGCGCGGGCACCCCCGCGGCTGGGAGTTCATTCCTCTTCCGGAATTTGAGGGGGGGGTAACCCCCGTGCTCGAACCCCATCGCCAGGGTTTTTTTCTTTCCTCCGCGGAAACCGGACCCCCTGGGTTCTTCGGCGCGCCCCATTTTTTTTTTCTTTCCGGTTGGGCCTCCATGGGTCTTAGGTTGGAGTCACCCGGGTGATATGCCGAGCACGACGCAACAACACGACGCAAAAGCACGGCGCAGAAACACGGCGCAAAAACACATAAAAAACACTACACAAAAGCATGCCGCAAAAGCACTACGCAAACACATTACGCAAAAACGTTACGTATATGATTTCACTGTTAGGCGCACCTCTCCTCCCAGCCAGCTCTCCCCATGCTCCCGACGCAACTTCCTCCATTCCACTACGTCACCAGGATACACGGAACAGACACTCGTAGGGTAATCGAGCACCCCATCACAATCGTAACATCGGTAGCCGAGGGTTTTTGGACCCCCTCTAGACCAAAACTGGCAAACATCCGATTGACCCAAGCCCGCGGCTTTACGTCGGGTTGGTTGCCACATGGCCGACCTCCACTACACTCCTGGCAGCCCCTTTCGCCTTGGGGTCTGAAATCTTTCAGACGCCATGGCGGAGACCCTTCATCCAATAGCAATGTACATCTGATGCTTCGGGGAAATTATGCAACGTACTCATGCCCTGCCAACGTTTCACTCCGAGCTTCAACGCAGCGCAAACCTCATTAGAGGGTTCTGTCAGAGTAGACAAAAACTGGCCGCCATTACTCACCAGAATGTGGGCTGCTGACATATCCCAGCCTAACCGACGCAAACTAGGCAGCACAGAGGAAAAAAACAGTGCGTTGACACTTGTGCCACGTATGGCTGGCATCAGCCTTGAACTTAATATGCTGGAAGGCTCGCTGCAATCTGCCAAAGGAGGTCCTAGAACCCCCAAGTAGAGGTATACTTATATGCACGAGCGGCACGCGCGCTTCGTGCACTGGGTCAAAGTACTGACCCTTGTGAGTCACAAGGCAAGCATTGAGGGAACCCGACCTCGTGGCTCCCGCCACAGTGCCAGCAATACCCCGAGCGGTCATGAGCGTGCTGTCGGTGACTTTGAGACGCCCGCGCCAT